TACAGAATGAAAAGGCAAATGACCACCTGGGAGAAACGTTTGCAAAGGATACATATTCCCAATAGAGAAAAACAAAAGACCTATACATCAACAGAAAAGATATGAATGCTCCAACAAAAGACATGAACGGGCAATTCACAAAAGAAGAAATTAAAATGGGCAGCAAATATAAACAATATTTAATTCTACTATCAAAGAAATGCACATTAAAACAACACTTTTTTTGTTTGTTTGAGGTTTTATGTTACCCAGGCTGGTCTCAAACTCCTGGGCTCAAGCAACCCTCTTCTTGTCTTGGTCTTCCACAGTGCTGATATTACCTGATATTACCCAGGTGTGAGCCGTGGCTCCCAGCCAAAACTTTTTTTTTTGTAATTGGCAAAGGTTAAAAGACTAAAATGGCTAGTGTTGAAGTTTGATGGTATACAAGCAGTCTCATACAGGTAGACACAATTTTACTGGCAGACAGTTGGCTATATGAATTAAGGACTTCAGAAATCTTGAGTTGCTTGTCTGAGTAGTTCTGTAATCAGACTTACACAAAGATTTACGTATGTGAATGTTTACATTCTGGTGCTATATAAAATTTTTAAAATGACATTATTAGAATATTGCTAAAGGAATTACAATCCATTTATGGACCATTAAAAATTGAATGTGATCTTTTAAAATAGCTGCTACTGTAGGCCAGGCTCAGTGACTCAGCCTGTAATCCCAGCACTTTGGGAGGCCAAGGCAAGTGGATTGCCTGAGCCTACGGGTTTGAGACCAGCCCGGGCAACTTGGTAAGACCTCGTCTCTACAATAAAATCAAAAATTAGTCGGGCGCAGTAGCACATGCCTGTAGTTCCGGCAACTTGGAAGGCTGAGGCAGAAGGATCGACTGAGCCCAGGAGGTCGAGGCTGTGGTGGCCGTGAGCATGCCACTGCACTCCAGCTTGGGCAACACAGTGAGACTCCAACGCCAAACATAAGTAAGTAAAAATAAAAATAAGAAATTGCTGCAGCGGCAGCGTTTTCAAATTTGGGCGAGAGGTGATGGTACAGGTAGCAGAGGTTGTGAGAAAGAGGAGCACAGATGGAAGGTGCTACATCAAAAGAAGAGTGCCAAGCAGCCAGGGAAATCCTTACTTCTCAAGTTCTGGGAGCCCCATGGCTTCTTCCAGCCCTCCTGGTAAATGTGTACATTTATGCTAACAGTTACCCAGAGTCATATACTTAAAAGTTTAGTGTTTGCTACTGCTCTGACCTTCATAGCATGTAAATCAAAGCCACAGATAGCATTGTTAAAGAAAGTTTATTGATTGGCCATCATGGTTCATGCTGGTAATCCCAGCAGTTTGGGAGGCCAAGACAGGAGGATTGCTCAAGCCTAGTGGTTCGAGACCATTCTAGGCAACATTATCAAGACCTTATCTTTACAAAAAAATAAAAATAAAATGAAAAAAGTAAGCTAGGCATGGTGGCACAGGTCTGTAGTTCCAATTACTTTGGAGACTGAGGTGGAAGGATTGCTTGAGCCCAGGAGTTTGAGGCTGTTGTAAGCCGTGATTGTGTCACTGCACTCCAGCCTGGGTGACAGTGAGACTCCCAACACACACACACATGAACACACACACACACACACACACACACACACACACACACATATGCACGCACAGACACACAGAAAGAAAAGGGAAAAAAAGCTTGTTACATAGCACTCAGTGCTTATCTTCTTCAGTTTTATGTTTCTGAGCTTTCCGTTGGTTTTCTATCTTTAAAATAAAACTAAAATTTAAATCAAAGATTAGTACAACCTATGTTTATTTCTGAGGCACTATCATTTTCAGTTAAATTATCTACAAGAATCTGTAACTTATTTCTTAAATTTTAGTGATTACTGATGTTTAAAATGCAAATATATAATGATGTATTTTATGTATTCAACAATTTCAGTTATAAAACATATAGTGGATGAATTATGACAAGTGGAAAAAGCAAAGTATCTTGAGATTTTAATTTTAACCTTTGTCATGGAAGATTTCACTCAGGGAGTATTTGGAAGTTGTCGTTGGCTATTGTTCTGCTAACACTTTAAGTAGTTAGTAACTGTAGGCATAATTATCAAAAGTATTTCTAAAAATTGGATTAGCAATATATAGAACAATTATGGGCAATAAAAGATTCCTGAAATATCTGAGGATATATCATAATTTTCTCATGATTTGCTAAATCAGAGATGACACCCTGATATTCAGCAAGTGGTCTACAGACTGACTGTGAGATACTGATTCCTATTGTGACTCTGGGATTTAGGGTCCCTGGATTGCTCTCCTGACATCCACTATCAGGATATCACCAGACCAGTGCAGAGCACACAGGTCAACCCATCAAAGACAAAGACCTCATGGAACTGCTAGATAAATTTGTCTTCCAGGTGTCCAAGTATAGGATTATGAATCTGAGGTCAGAGTGGCAGGTGTGTGTGTGGGGTGGGATTCAGGTCAGGAAAAAAAAACCCCTCATGAACCAATAAAATTTGATATGAACAAAAGAATTAATAAATGATCCAAAGTGTTATTGGAAAATGCACATAGAAAAGAATAGATACTAACAAAACTAATTTCAAAATTAATCAAAATTAAAAACTAGTTAATGAAACAATTAAAAACTAAAAATTAAAACCTAATTAATCAAAATTAAAGTAAAAAAAGCCAAAAGTGGTTTCAACCACCTTTTTTAGAAAATTGACCAGGAATTAAATTGAGTTAATAAAATTATATCCAGTCAGTACTTTCTTGATAAATTTGATTTCCATTGCTATAATTATGGTTGGAACGTTTGTATTGAAAAATAAGAGCCAGGGTTAAACAGGGTCAAAATGGGAAGAGGATTGTTCACTGATTGCTTAGTGAAACCTGTAAATGAGAACGAACTAAGCAACAGAACCTCCTACTCCCTCCACCAGCATCTCTCCTGAAATCATTGCCTGACCTGGATCCTGAAACCTTAAACCAGAATATGATGCAAACCTTGACTTGCAAAATTCCTCTCAAAGCCTCCTTTCCTTAGGTACTATTCTTAAAATAAGTGGTTTGAAGTCCTATTCCCACCCACCACTTTTTTTTTTTTTGAGTCAGAGTCTCACTCTGTCACTCTGTTGCCCAAGCTGAAGTGTAGTGGCACAATCATGGCTCACTGCAGCCTCAACCTCCTGAGCTCAGGCAATCCTTCTGCCTCAGCCTCCCGAGTAGCTAGGACTACAGGTGTGTGCTATGCTCAGAAAATTGTGATGAGCCCTTGATACGTTGCCTAGACTGGTCTGGAACTCCTGGGCTCAAGCAATCCTCCCACCTTAGCCTCCCAAAGTGTTAGGATTATAGGCATGAACCACCTACTTCCATTTTGACTGTTCTTAAACTCAGGTCCTATGGTCTCCTAAAGCCATGATTCCCATCTGCCAATCAAGTTGTACAATCAAAAGAAAAGACAACCAGGCTCGGTGGCTCAGTTTGTAATCCCGCGCCTTTGGGAGGCAGGGGTGAGTGGATTGCCTGAGCCCGCGGGTTCGAGACCCGTCTGGGCAGCAAGACCTCATCTCTACAATAAATCAAAAAATCAGCCGGGCGTGGTAGCTACTTGGAAGGCTGAGGCGGAAGGATCGCTGGAGCCCAGCAGGTCGAGGCTGCGGTGGCCGGGAGCGGCCACTGCACTCCAGTCTGGGTGACAGAGTGAGACTCCAACTCAGAAAAAAAAAGAAAAAGAAAAAAAGAAAAGACAGTTCACACTCACAGTATAGTCATAGTATGGCCTTTCCCCCTGCTTTCTACTTCCTATCTATCCATTGCTTCATAGAGACCAGGTTTGGATAGGTGGGAACAAAAAATAGGATCAATGGAAACAGATGAGAGGTGGGGGCACAGGAAGGAGTGAGCAGGGAGAAAAATGATAGGAGATATTTGGTACCATTAAAAAAAATAAATAGGCCAAGCACGGTGGTTCATGCCTGTAATCCAACATTTAGGGAGCTGAGGTAAAAGGATTGTTTGATCCCAGGAGTTCAAGACTAGCTTGGGCAACATAGGGAGACCTAGTCTCTACAAAAATTAGAAAAACTAGTCAGGTATGGTGGCTTGTGCCTCTAGTCTCAGCTACTCAGGAGGCTGAGGCAGAAGGATCACCTGAGCCCAGGAGGTCGAGGCTGCGGTGAGTCGCGATCATGCCACACTTCAACCAAGATGACAGAGTGAGACTCTGACCCAAAAAACAAAACCAACCAACCAACCAAAAAAACAAAAAACAAAAAACCACTCTAGAAAATGAGAACAATGGAAACGCTGGATTTTCTAAGTACAAATATTTATTTGCATAATATGTGCCTTATTGACCATAAATTTTCCCTATCCTTTATTTATATTCTAAGACAAAGTATTTTATTTCACTGAGATTATCATAAAGATCTTTTTTTTTTGAAATGGGAACTGAAAAATGTGGGTTCTGTAATGATAGTTACAGTGTTTATAGCCATAATGTTAATGAGTTCCATCCTACTGCTGGTATACAGTATTGTAAAATAGAACCAAAATTTTGCATGTGCCTTCATTTTTTTCCTTACATTTTGTACTGTTTAGAGTCTTCTAGACATACTGTTTTCTGAATGACAGAATTGAACACAGCACCTACCATTTAAAAGGGATCGAAATTCATTTAATAAGTAAATGATTGAATGATATTCATACAACCTAGCCGTGACTGACATTCACCGTTTTATTTTTGGTGATAGTATTGTAGGTTTATATTTATTCACACACATTGGTAAACATGGGAAGATAGCTTTGAATTTCTATAAGGACAAGACCCCTTTGCTTCTTGAGATCACTTATTTATCTTTCTTGTTTGGAAGAAAATTTGAAAGTGCTTATTAGAGGGTAGTTTATTTTAATAGAAGATGTCTCAAAAATGAAGTCTCAGTTCAAGGTCTCTTTTTTTTTTGAAGTCTTACCCAAAAGGAAGTGAGTATGAGGTGAATTGCATTAACGTGAAGTACCGCAGAGATGAAACTTAAAGCAGGAAGCAACATACCACCAATGTACTGGATGGGAACACGTTTGTACCATGTGAATAGATATGACAAAAACAGCCCTCCTTAAATTGTTTGTAGCAATAGTGATCACATTCATTTTAATTTTGCCGGAATATTTCAAGACACCAAAAGGTGAGTATATAATTGTAATCTAGTTTTTCTTTCTTAATTTTTAAAAATTATGTCAGTTAATAGTTACAGAAAAGATCTTTTTGGATACATGCTGCATGCTTGAAGTTCTAGGTCTGAAAAACTAGTAAAATAAAACAAGATTGCAATTTTAGTTAGCTGTTATATGGTACAATAGCCTTATTCATAGTACTTAATCATTGTAGCAAACATAAAGATGAAAATATTTAAAATCTGTAGCCTAGAATTCAAACACTGAGCTTACATCAATCTCATTATATGAGTTTGCTCTTTTAAACAGTTTTTTTCAAAACAGTTTTAAGTATACTTTTATATTCTGGAATTATTTAATAAAGAAAGTAACGTTAGGTTAAAAAATGGTGGAATTAGCCCCCACCACAATGTTACACAATTTACTGTTACCTTTTGAAAATAAAGTGTATTTAGATGTTTTGAAAATACAATTCAAATAAGGTGGGTGCAAATTGAAACAGATGTCTCTGAGGGTGTGTGTGTGTGTGTGTGGGTGGGTGTGTGCGTGTGTGTGTGTATTTGTGATTAGAGAAAAATTGAACAAAATTAACCCTGTGAACATTTTAGAAAATTGTGATGTGATTGCTGAAACCTAGATTAGGGAAATAAATAGATGTACATTTAAATTATTTTTATGTATTAGTAAAAGACTTTTAGATGTATTAGTGTGATTGTTTGGATGGTAATTGTGCTTCCTAGCATTTAATGAGAAGAAAAAAAGTAAAGAGAAAATGCTTTATTCTATCATTAAATAGTTATTACATGAATTGGATTAAAATCAGAGAAAAACTTATATTTGATGACTTGCCGCAATGAATATTTATTGTTGCATATATGTGATGCTAAGTAGCCAGATAAAAATATTTTTGCCAATTATATTTGATGACATATTCCAATGATTATTTAATGTTGAATATACATGATGCTAAGCAGCCAGATAAAAATATTTTTGCCAAATAAACACTATGACTGCAATTTAGTTTTCTGGCATTATGTTGCTTAGATTAAGTAATCATAGCATATATTTTTAATGCTTGATTTAACTGGGTGAAAATGTGTTATAAAGGGAATCATTAGAATAAAGATGATCTATTTTTAAGATATTGCGGGCTCAGAGTAAGCTCATTTGATAGTTATTCAGGGTAGGTCCCGTATACAATACCTAACACAAAAAATCAGGTTGGATCTAATAAAAGTCAGATAATCATCCCCAAAATGACTTAAACTATTTGATAACTAGTGTTTAGTGTTTTATAAGAACTGGTGACTTGGTAGCACGTGCCTGTAGTTCCGGCTACTTGGAAGACTGAGGCAGAAGGATCACCAGAGCCCAGC